CCTCAGCTTCTGGCTGTCTCTGCAGGGACCTGTAATTCTGGGGATATTTTGTCCCAAACTCAGTCGTGTTATTTCATCCAGAACTCATGGGGGTGGGGCATGACATCATAACCAAAGAGCACAAAAGAATGGGGATTAGTCTCCGTGTCCTTAGCAGTTGAAGATATCTTCTTAAGCAATTCAAACACTAAATGGAAATGCTACAAATCTCAACCTGCCTCCTCTCTTTGTTCTTGACAAGGCAAGAGGAGTTTGAGAGATCATTTATTATTTCTGCACGTTTGTCCTTCCGTAGTCATGACAAAAGAAAATAAATTTATTAAATAACTAAATGTTTTAAATTAAAAAATATAATTAAATATATTTAATAGGCGAATACAATTATTTCAGTTCAACTTGAGATTGTATTTCATGTGTCAGCTTGTCATTTAAATTGATTTCTCTGCACAAGTCAAGAAACAAAAGAGGTTTTTGAAACAGACCCCAATGGAACTCAATAATAGCCATACTGGGTAGATTTTTTTTAACGTTTCAATTAAAAGGTGGTCTACATATACCTACATATTTGTCTTCCTTTCCTGGTAGACATTTGCTTTTCTACAGGCTATAAGATGTATTAATTCAAGAGTTTCACATCCAAGACCAACATTTGAATTTATGTTCCAATATCTACTTCTTTTCTTCCTGCAACTATAAAACTTTGCCTCTCACAGCCTCCTGTTGTGCCTCTAGATGAGTTCTCCAATTCTTGCCAGGAACGAGTATGCAATTTAGTCAGCCCTAGTCCACAGGAGCCCATAATATATCCTTGCAGGTCAGAAGTATTATGGCTTCCAGAGAGGCCTTCTCGACCTCCATTAGTCCCCAAAATTAATTTACTCTTTTGTTTTGTTTTTGTTTGTGTGCTTTTGAGAGAGGGTCTTGCTATGTAGCCCAGGCTGGCCTCCAACTTATGGTGAGCTGCCTACTTTATCCTCTCAAGTGCTGAGGTTACAGGTGTGAACCACTATGCCCAGTGGGACACGATTTACTCTTTGAGTCAATAACCTTGATTCAAAAACGATAGTCTAGATATGCTTAATATGATTTTTTTCTAGACATCAGAGGTATTTTATAAGGAATGTACTACCTACAGGTTGATAAACTCTATTTTATTTGCCTAATAAAGAATTAGTGCTTCCTGAAATACTAGAGGGAGGGCTAACCTCTTTTTCCCCTCCCTTTCCCCACCTTCTCCGCTCTCCAGATCTCCTTTGTCAACTCAGGGCTGTCAGGGAATTGCTTCTGGCTATCCATGCACATGGCAACCCAGGCTGGGCTACTTGTGTGTGCATCTCAGAGATGGAGAAGAAGCAGGAGCCTCTGAAACTAACATCGGCTGTTTTGGTTCCCATTTCCCTTACAGGAAATTTTAAGTTTTCTATCAATCATTGCATTTGAGCTTTCTTCTATCAACCACTTAGGTTAGTGAGCAGAAGGTTACTCAATGAAGACATTCATATGAACCCATCAGCCTGAAACTGTGGGTGAATATGTATGTACGTGTGCGCTGTTTAGGTAATTTAGAGAAAGCATACGGTACTTAAAAGATGAAGCAGTAAGTACCTGGAACTGCTATTCCATAATTTGGTTTCCTATGGCGTTAAACATCTATTACAATCACATACTCGTCAGGGGCCAAATGAATTCAAAAGCAAAACATGCACAGCAAAGGCTTCACACAGCTCTTCCCTAGATCCCAGAGAGCAGCTTGTGGAGGCTCTGTTTTAATCAAAGGAAGCCTGGCTTTGGTGCAAGGAGGGTTTACTCATCCTGCTGATGAGTTAGCTGTATTAACATGCCAGAAACAAAACAACAATCTGGGGACGATTTCTATAAAACTTGATGTTTCATCCAAATGTGCTTAATAGAGCCAACATTTTTGCCCTTGCTACTGTGAAATCATTCAGAACCAAGGATAGAGTTAACTGGGGCAAATCTTTCATTCACATTTGCAGAACCAAGTCCGCTGATTTTCCTTTTTATTTTTCTGGTTAATAGTTTTTGAGAAAGTCATAAATATGCTTCTTGTTTTTCCAGTTTGGAGATTTTTTAGTGAGAATCAGAATATGCAGGCACTCTCAGGGATCAACAACTGTGCAAGTTTTGTAATAAAATAGCTACTAGAGATACTGACATTTAAAGCAGCCAAGGGCAGGTTAGAAGCTATAAACACAGTCCTATCTTTAAACTTCAGGAATCAGTACAGGAGTGTACTTAGCTTTGCACACATGGCCATCAGATGAGGCAGTTTTAACACTGCCCCTCTCATTTTAGGTAACAGTGGGAACTGAAGCTAGTTGCTAAAGATGGCTCTGTGCCTCAGTTCCCCATCAAACAACCTCAGTAAGAAAATGAATGAAATGAAGTCGAGCATCTAGCATAGAGTTAGTACTCAGCAAATGGCAGCTGTTTCTCACCAGCTGCTCACATATCAAATGAATACACACTACTTTAGGTGCTGATAATGATGATCACCAAATTAAATAGTGAGAATTCATCTTATTCAAATTAGTGTGACCTCAAAGTGTTAATACACTAATTTTCTCCATAATTTCATACTGTCTTCTTAATATATACTTACTTAATAAATTTCATAGACTTTTAAAATACCACTAAGTGCCTCAGAGACAGCTGATCTACAAGAAAGCTTTTTTTATTTCATTGAGTTTATTGGTACTTTTTAAGTATACAGTACAGTTATATTTATCATTGGGATCTTGTACCCTTACATGACAGATCTTGGTTTTCATTTTTTCCTCATTCCCCTGCCCTCCCTTCACCCCCTCAACCCTCCCCTATTTACAAAGACTTTGTTTCCGTTTTTTCCTTTTCTCATATTTTTTCTTGTCCCTTATTTCCTTTCCCCTACCCTTCCCACTTCCCCTACACCCTTAGCCCTTTTCTTCCTATTTCACATTATCAGTTATACAATTTCTATCTTATTTACAATTCTAGTTTTTCATACCAGAGAAACTATTATAAGAAAGCTTTTTGAATGCATGATGATTTGACAACAGCAATATGAATCAGAAAATGACAAACATTCTAGTGTTTGGGTACAGAACATGACTTCCATTTTAAACGTCCTAACCCTTTAGACCTCAGTTTCTTCCCCAGCCAAGGCTTGCAATGCAGGGACCAGGGAAGGTAATCAAACTGCCCTTCCCTGATCTCCCATCAAGTGGTAGGATCGAAGATTAAAAGATGAATCCTTTAGATACCAAAATGTGTGCATTTAATTACCATGTTAGACTCCTTCCTGTGTTAGTGATGAAGTCAGGGCTGTGTGCACTGGAGCAACACTATGGTTGCAAAAGGTGTGACCTACTGGGCAGTCCTGAGCTGGAATCCAGCTCCACCACACTTGAATTAAAAAAAAAAAAAAAAAAAAAAAAAAGAATTAATTAGATGGATGTGGTAGTTTTGTGCTGTATTTGGCTAAGCTGGAACTGTGTCCCCTTCCTCGGTGTGTTTCCAGGATAGAGCAGGAAAGAGACAGCTAG